CTCCTCTTCCACCAGCATCAGCAGCCGCTGAATCTCACGGTTGTTCGGACACAGCTTGATGGCCTCGTTCAGGTCCTCCAGGGCTGCTGAAAACTGCCTGCTTGACAAAGGGACAGAAATGAGAACTGAAATTACTCTGGATTTGAATGGAGCCATTCTTGGAGGCTAGTGAGCGTTAAGTGGCTTGTCCGTTTTACTGAGGGAAAAGTCTGTGACTGCTACAGCTGGCTGCCTCTCTCAAACGCTGCCTCACGTGCCTCCCTTGGGTTTATTTTATACAAACAGAAGGAAAATACTGCCAGCCACTCTGGGGAAGAGGGGAACACGCTCCCGGGACGGCACAGCCCAGACTAGCAGAAATGCCCGTCCTCTGCAGTGTGTGCTACCGGCTAATTAAATTACTCCTCACAGCACCACCAGGAGCTTTTTTTTCCCCCCCACCAACCTGCGTGAAGGGGAAACCAAAGCACAGACAGCTAAGAGCCAAGCTCACCATCGCTGCAAACAACTGCAGCTTTGATGGCGTTGCATCTGCTTACACCAGTGAAAATTTAACTGCTCCTGCCTGGTGCCAAGACCACACAGCGTCAGGGCTGGCTCCACAACTCAGGGGTTCCCGTGGGTCAGCACTGGAGGCCAGGCTGCCTCCCCCGTCCTGCACCAGATTCACCTAACCTCTTCCAAGGAGCAACCGAGGAATGAAGCCCCGTTAGCAAGCCTGCAAGCCCCCAGGGCAGGGGCTCCGCAGCTGGAAGGCCTGTGAGGAGTAAAAGGGAGGTGGGGATGCAGGGAAGTGGGTTGTCATTTACAGGGCCACTGTTCGCTTTTGAGCAAAATAATCTATTTTAGCATGATTGCGAGCTGGGGGATGATCCCCACCCCGGACGGAATGCGCAAACACCCCAGTTCACTGCCTTGCCATAGAGAAAGAAATTCTCCCGCCCCTCCCAACTCCAGCTTTGGCAAGACCCGATCAAAACCAGGAAGAAGGAAAAGTGTTTTTGCCCAGACCGTGCTGACCTTAGGGGTGCTGCTGTGCAAAATAGGGAAATAAGTAAGAAAACCCAAAGCGATGACGGTTTCTACTGGACAGACTAGGGGAGACAGGAACGCTTGCATGTGGGGGAGGCTAACACCCATCTGCAAAGCAACCGAGTTCTTACGCTTCCTTAAAAGCATTTTGGAAACAGTGGAGAGCAAAACCAATAAAGGAAAGGTATAAAGTAAACGTGGTTCAGTCAGCAGGACTTCTCTCCAGAACAGAAGGTCACGGCTTCACCTCCCACATCAAGACCTGGCTGGACCAGGCAGCGCAGCATCAGCTAGGCCAGGAGCCCAGCTACACTCATTATCTCTAGGATGGAAGGTCAAACTGTGGTGTTGTCTACTGAACCCCGATGTTTCCCCAGGTGGACTTTACAGACCACTGGCTATGGTGATTCTCTGCACTGCCATGCAAGACACTGGCTCCAATTTAAAACTGAGATTCGTGCAATGACAGCGTGCCCAGCCGTTGAGCGTATGACTCAAAAGCAAGCCCTCCTGCTCATTTAGGAATGGCATTGATAGGTTTTGAAAAGAATCTAATCTCGCATCTTTTAGTCTTCCGGGAGGTTAACAAGGGAATCCTCCGGGCTCCATCTGAGATGCACCGAGACCCCCGCACTGCTTCTTTCTAGTAGTTGGTTTGTGTGCTCTGGGCACAAGCTCTGGCCGAAAGCAAAATAGCTCGCGTTTGCCTGCACAGTCACTGCACAACTAGTCCTCAGTTTCTGCCTTGCAAGAAGTGCTGTAGGACAGAAAGATTCATAGATTTAAAGGCCAGAAGAGACCACTGCGATGAACACGAGTCTGCCCTCTTGCATAACACAGGCCACAGGACTTCCATGAATCACACTTTGCTTCAAGTCCAAGTTGTGGTTGAACTAAAGTGTATTTTTTGGAGAATACCCAATCTGGGCGTAAAGATTTCCCGTGTAGTAAGGTGTTCAGACAAAGTTCAACTAGGATGAACTTCTCAAAACATTTGCATTCAGCTGTGCTCCAGAAATTACCAAATGAGGGAGGGTGTTACTTTGGAGTTTGAGTTTTTTGCAACCACATTAACGCGTGTTTCTTTGCCATCTCTTCACATGGGGACACTTGCACAGTTTTGCACGGTGAATGCCTACATCGGTGTGGCCAGGCTCGAAGAAAACAGCCCCTCTCACTTTTCTCTCTCTCTCTCCTCACCTGCTGCTGCGTTTGGCCCTTGCTCTTGCATAGTAAGCTTCATAAGATTTCGGTTTCAGCTCCAGTGCTTTAGTAGCAAATTCCTCCGCCATTCCAAAATCCTGTCATTACAATAGGTGGGTAGATAAGTAATTGAATAGATAGAAATATAAAAATATATACAATTTGGGAAGAAAACAAACTTATATGGACAGTTTTTTTTTTGCATGTAAACTTGGAAAAGTTGATGGTACTGGAACGGTTTATTTACAAGGATTCGACAACATTTACAGTCAGATAGCTGCAATGGCATGTCCTGAGACTCAAAGCCCTCTCGTAATGCCAGATGCTGTACCGCATCTACAGGAGGCCAGTGCGCCTTTTACTTCAGACTGGCTCCGTTCTCACCGATTGTGTCCCCACCAACTGCATGCAATCCCTGGCCAATATCCTACAGCCTTGAGGAAACATCTGGTCTTGCAGCAGCTGGAATGTGATCTCATGAAGGATTTTTCCACAGTTGAAAGCAGTTGGAAACCTTTCCCACACCCTCTGCTCCCCACTCCACAACAGTCTGTGAAACACTTTAGAGGGACTGAATAAAACTGCACATGAAAGAAGGGACTACTGATACCTCGGTAACTACAAACAGGGCTCCACTGGCAAAACTGTCTTACCTGCGCCACCCATCTCACCCTTCCCTCATCCTTTCCTGCACTTCATTTGGGAGACTTGCTTGGGAGGGGCAGGGAGAAGGTGTCAGCATGGAATGGAGACTGGTTTGGGGATTCTGAGTGGCAGCACCATGAGATCAGCGTATCAGCTATGGTTCAAATTCTGCTGGCCACCCTCCCTCCCCTTGCCCTTGTCCCAAATGCTTCACGTACCGCTAAGCTCAGCTGAGCGCTTGCAAGGGAGATCTCTTCCCAGCGGCGGGGCTTTTCTTTGGCAATCAAACGCTCATTGCTCTGGATTGCTGACTTGGGCTATAATCCTGAGCAGTTCTGGGAGAGAGCACCTAAGAGTACTCCTAACCTGTTCAAAACCTTAATAAGCATGCTAGAAATGAAGTTTATTAGCACACGATGGCCGCTCAAACTGCACTTAGCAGCCATACATAAGCAAGTAGGGCCATTCGTATCTTAATGAAACCCAAGGGGAGATTTCATCTTGGCTATGGTGTCCACACTGGAGCATGCTCTCTGGATGCCCTGTCTAGGGAAGCTCACGGTGTGATTCAGCTGAGCAAACCAAGGAGTCTGCTGTAGGAAGAGATGAATAGCACCCAAGACTCCACTGACTGCACTGACTACAGCTCCCGCAGCGCTAACAGGTGGGAGCTTATCTGGCAATGCCTTCGCTGTGGACTCCCACGTGTAGCTGGATGGATGCCAGATTAAGTCTCCAGAACACAAAAGGCCACCGAACAGAGCCTGCTCTTTTCTGCTGTCATTTCAGTCTTATTCTCAGACACATGCCATAACCTGCCATTTCGCAGTTCGGTAAAGACTTGTTTCTGAATACGCTAAAGTTTTCAGTAACAAGGTTTCCGCTTCTGAATCTACAGGGGAAAATTTGTAAGTCTGGCTGTAGGCATATACTTTCGTTTGTATCTTCAGTAGCAGATACCGAGGAATTGTCTAACAGACCGAGCTGGGAATGCAGTCAGGAGGTAGGTGCTTTACGGTCTAATTTATAGGTGCCGAACCTGTAGAGCAATTACAACTCCCTGAAATTTTCTATCACAATATCTGGGACTCCCCATTAATAGTAAGCTGAAAAAGTTGCCCTTAAAGCGCAGGCTTAGCAGAGAGTTGGCTTGTTTAAAGAGAAGGTTCCCATTTTTCCAAGCCCTCTGTTGCTTGCTCGCCAGCATTATGATTTTACTTTCACTGCTTTTCATCTGCCTCCTTCATAGCTTAAAGAAATGAAGGTGTCACCACATCCCTCCCCTTCCAGTGCAATCTTCGCTGGCGCTCGGCCTTGGCGGAGATTTCACGTTTCAAATGCACGGAGACTTTAAGCAGTAGAGGTGAAAGTCTCTGAACGCAGAGAAAGGGGGAGGTGGCACTTGTCTGTTGGAAGAACAAAAATGCTGCAAAAGTTTGTCGCTAGATGCTGCTAGATTGGAGAGGGGAGAGTGACAGCGATATGGCAGTTCTGGGAGGAGAGGGAGGATGTGGGGGTGTTTCTGCATGAGTCACTGCCCTGGGGAAGTACTGCCCCCTAAACATATGCTCCTTCATTTCAAAATTAATTAGTATTCAAGGAGCACATCTCCTGGCTCCTCCCTCACCACTGCCCTAGAAATCTGAAAAATGCCTCCGCCCCCAATTCACATCATCATCAAAAGGGAGTAATAAAAAATTCAAAAAGCTATAAACATAGCGATGAATTTTTAATAGTCAGAAATGAATATTAAATCATTACTTTACTTCTTTTGGATTATAAAATGTCAGTGCTCTGTGAAGGACAACCAGGTTACAGAGAGGAGAGATCTCAGAGGCCAAAGCACAATTACAGGAGACACACATCTTTGTGGACAGGCAGGAAGCTGGCAGCTTGCTCTTAAGGTCATGAAGAGGGGGGAGACTTACATTCATTTTCCTTCGACATCGGGAGAGGTTGAGAAGGAGCGACACCTTCAGCTCCCGGAAGGTTTTCAGGTCTTCTCCAAACCCTTCCCTGGGGAATTTTTTCAGGGCGTACTGGTAACGCTGGGCAGCCTCCTTCACTTTACCTTTCTAATAGAAGGAGAAGATGTCAAAATAAATCCCTTAGTTGAACTTACTTCACTGCAGAAAATTCACTCACCAGCCCCATGAATGTTTTGGGTGGTTAAGGTAACATGACTTCACTATTTAGCTCTTTTCTAGAAAGGAAAGCCAGAACATTTGATCAAGGGAACAATTCTGGAAATGCAGATGCCTTCTACGAGATGAGTTCTCCCACTTCACAGAGTTTGCAAGCTACAGCAGGAAACACAGCAGAAACTGTTTTGCATTAACTTGATATAACGCCATCTGTTCTCTGGCTAAATGGTCTTTTGAGCTGGGTTACAAGAAGACACACAAACATAACCACTTCATAGCCTGCCACTTCTGGAGAACATCTTACACCCTTCCCACAGGAACGTGCACCCTCGGCATCCTTTCAGCAGCTCAGGAGCTGCTCCCGGGCTAGCGTCTTCAACAGCCGCATAGTGGCCATGACTGTTCAACACACCTGAGCTCGCCCCACGGGCTGCGCTGTGGAGCTGGTCTCCGGGAACAAGCATTTCATGTCTTTCAGCTCTAACCCAAAGATTAACAAGCGTTAGGGAGGGTAAAGGATACAAAGAGTTGGACTTTGGGTGGAGCTCCCGGGGCTCAGTGAAGCCTCTGTGGACTAGCTAGGACAAACGTGATGGCATTGATGTGGCTCTGAAGTTGGACAAACGGATCAGGATTCATCTCCCCGGACGTTAGATGTCTCAAAATTAGGTGTCTACATCTCAGGCTGTGGACTGAGCTCCTTTTATAGTTATTGGGATACTATAGTCACCTTCAAAGGGTGACTCACCCTCACTATTTTGGGCACCTATTTTTGGGATGGAATGATCTGCGCCCTGAAGGAGAGCAGCCGTGGCAGCTAGGGTGAAAGAAAGAGGGCAAAACGGGATCTAGGACACATGCAATTCATGACGACCCAGACATAAATTTTGCAGCTACTAATAGTAAGCTTTAAAACCTTTTAGACTCAGGTTTCTCAGCTGCATCATGTATCCCTGGCAGATCACTCCAGTTACAATGCCAGCTCTGCATATTTTCTGCTTCACCCTTGGAGGCTAACAGTGAATCATTGTTGTACTTGCACATTTTTTGTGTGTGTGCAAATCTCCAGGTTTTAAAGATCAGCTTAAAATAAACAGAGAGCAAGAAAGGCTCTCTAGCTGTAGCAGTGGAATGTCCTCTCAGCGGCTTAAGGACCTAACATAAAGCCATCTCTGCCCTGACGATCTGTTTTCATTATCAAAAGTTTCTTTTGCTAGTTCTTCTGAGATAAGACTATCCCGTTGCCTAGTTTTACACCAATGAGCCTGCTACGCAATGACCACATTGCCAGATCTGACGCAACGACGTCAGCATTGAGAATCTCTGCAGAACACTTAGGTTCTGGTGTTTTCAAAGAGGAAATGAAGTCTTGGCTCAAATCCAGAACACAGACAGACTTGGCTCGGTTTCAGGTTTGTTTGTTTGTTTTACAAATTTTGGCCATCACCACTGCCCAGCCTAACTAACCAAAACAAAGCAGTTTACGGGCAGTAGCTTTTACTTCCCATGGATTAAGGTAGCACTATTGCTCAGTGAGGGATCAAATGAAGAACAAGACCTCAGACAAAGTCATGCTAAAGTTGCATCTTTTCTATTCCTCCGAAAACACCCCTCTCACCTTGTAAAACATGTCTCCCTCCTCCATCAGCTTGCTCAACAGGATGATCATGATGTCTGGTTTGGAGGTTGCCATCGCCCATGTTGCTGGACCTGTAGTGTACAGGATGCATGATGGGTAAAAAACTCATACAATGCAAGGGTGGTAGGAAGCTGGGTGGAAAAAATATCCTGGGGTGGGAATTTCTGCTGGAGAGAACAACTTGGCATGGTCAAAGAGCAGAGCGCTCCAAATTATGGAGATGACAATTCCTCTTGTACTTAAATTAACACCGTTTGCATTGCAATGTCTTTTCTTGCAGTCTTTAATAGCTACTATTACTAATAACCATGTCTCGGAAATGACCAGAGTCACTTCCACAAGAGGGCACTGCAGGTTGTAGAATTGGCTGGGGTGGGGGAAACCAGCGTGGTCGGGAAATAAAACATGTTTAAGGGAAATCAAAGTAGTTACATAAAATGCATTTCTAAATTAAAATCTACGTAAATGCAACAGGAAATCTACGGCTCAGCCGTCCATAGGCATTTTGTTTTTAACTGGGTCTGGGTTTCAAACTTCACAAGACGTGAAATACTAGAGTAGGAAATTCGGTAAGCTGGAAAACGCAACAAAAGAAAAGGTCGTGGCTAAGTACTGCTCATGCTGAAGCCGTCCGTTCGGGGTGGCGACGCACGACCGGCTCTGCGCAGGGGAACGTGGCGCGACGGCCGCGTCCAGCCCCAACGGCAGAGCCGGCGGTCATCCCAAGGCTACCGCTGGGAGGAAGGGGTGGCACCAATTTGGGGGAGAACTCATTAGTCTGGGTGCAGAATAAGTCAACAGGACCGTATAAGTCGATTCAGTAAGTTTTGGGGGAACGAGGTTAGTTTTTGAGTTCAAGTTATTCTCTGCAACAGTCGTTAAAAAAATTATTTGAAGGTGAGGTAAATTAAAAGATTAGAGGTGTCGGGGACGCATGCAGGCTAAATCAAACAGGAGAAAGCAAGGCTGACAAAGCTATCAGATCGAGGCTGATGCTGACAGCAATGAGATATACCTCGTGGGCGACTCGGTAACGTCTGACAACCTTCAAAGAAAGGAGAAAACAAAAAGTTGTAGGAGAGAGGGGAAAAAAAATGGATGAAGGTGAAAAAAAAAAAAGGAAAGGAAAAAAAAAAAGCAGCTGTGAGAGGCAGGCAGCGAAGAAGCCAATGCACCAGCAAAATCCCCTTTCACAGGAAAACGTAACGTGAGCAGCTGTGTGGCGCAGTGCAGGTAACACTAAAATCTGAAAGCATACACAGAGCAAGTGAATGCAGCAGCTCACAGCAATGCATGACCATAGTACATTTGTCGACTCAGACTAGTAAAGATAGGAAAAGCATTACCAGAGGAAAGACCTTGCCAAAGAGACAGTGGTTTATTGATTAACTTTGCTAAGTAACACGACAGCCAAAAAATAAATAAATAAAAAAAATCCCAGTTTAATCAATCGAACGGGGCAGTCATGCCTCGCCGGCTGCTTTCCGAGTACGAAGCAGCCTCTGGAGCTGAGGCTACTACCTCTGCGGCACATCGGCGCTCTCTAGGAGGCCAGCCCTGTTGCTCGGGAGTCCTGCCTGAGTCCAGAGCCGACGGAGGAGCCTCCCCTGCTCCCTACCTATCTTTGCTCCTTTCTTCAGCAGGGTGACGACGACGGAGGTGTTGCGGCACCCCACGGCCCTGTCGAGGGGGCGCATCCCGCTGTAGTCGACGTGCTCGATCATGGCACCGTGGTCCACCAGAAACTGAACCTGTGACGACAAGCACAAGGGTCAGCTCTGCTCCTGCGCGAGAGCTTCGAAGCACAGGCAGCAGGAGCTTGTTCTGCTCCCCTGGTTGCGCTAAGACCATCTCTACACGGCCTGAGGTTACGCTGGTCTCTCTTGCGCTGCCCTCCGTGAAAGCGCTTGCATGTGTGAAGGTCTAGGGCGCTAGCTGCATAGGGTTACAACCTGAGTCACGCTGTTCTGAGAGTTGTAAGCCAACTTCCCTTTCGGTTCTGCGCGCGTGACAGGCCACTTACCACCTCTGCATCGCCATAGAAAGCTGCTAGGTCCAGGGGGGTGCGTCCGTTTTTGTCAGCGTGGTCTGTGGCAGCTCCGTTCTCCACCAGGGACCGCACCACGGAGAGGTGCCCCTTCAGGCAGGCCCAGCTAAGGGCTGTCAGTCCTTCCTTGTCCATCAGAGAAATGGAGGCACCTGGAAGAACAAGGGTTGGTCTACTTCAGAGCTCCCTGTTGTACAGCACTAACAGTATAACCCAACAAACCAACAGCTTAAAGACGCACAGCAACTTATTTTTAGAGAGTTCGCTCTATAGATAATTATCAATCACTTTATCAACATGTCTCCCGCTACGTATCCCACCCTCCATGGCAACTTCAAATGCACTGATGGAAACCGTGGCAAACGAGTTTATTCATACCAAGCTGCAAACTTTTTCACGCTTAGATCTGTAGGCTTTTCTGGCAAACGTCATCTGAGCAGCAAGGTGCATTTGACATCCCTCATCTGAGAAATCAATCTTTTTTTTTTTTTTTTACTTTTTTTTTTTTAAATCAAAAACCATTCCAGCCTCTGTCAGTCAGAGATGAACACCATTTTGCTGTTTCAGCAGGTCACAGTGTACCAGGGGGAGCTAAGTCTGTTCAGCGCCACTCATTTAAAAAAGCACATATTTCCCTTCTTCCCTCTCCCTCCCCTTTAACCAAACTGACATAATTTCCAGCAGTATTTTTCTCCCTGAACTTAACCCAATACAAATACAGCGCTGTGGGATAAACCACTGCCAACTGCAAGCCAAGGAGAGAGGGACTTGACGTTTTCTTGGATGAAGAAACCGTGCTGCCATACCAACGGGTCACCATTGCTTCATATGGCATATGGGCCCACGTACGAGATTTTAACAACAGCATTAAGCGAACACTCTTCACCGTGGAGCGAAGACAACTTGTGTTGCTATGGTGCAGGCAGGGCGCTCGCTCTGGCGTGCTGGAGACCCGGAGCAGCTCTGCTCCTCTAAGGAGCATCCTACCTGCGCGATGTTTTCCTGGGATGAATTGCTACTGCAGTATTTTTCTCCTGTAGCTAAACTCTAAAACACCCAGCAGGCGCTCTTTATGGGCTCCGAAACACTTAGCGAGTGGGGGAGTGATGCATTTCCTAACCCTTCCCATCCAGCCAAGTTGGCGTCTCCCCTTGTTAGCACGCATTACCCAGATGATACTGAACTGATGCGTCTTCCAGCTTGCACAACTTTTTGTTTGCGGAGGAGTGAAACACATGAGCATTTGCTTGGGATATGTCCAGCAGCCTGCAGCAGGAGCTCTCAGCCCAGGCGCCTGCCTGCTGGGCGCCAGCGAGGGAGGCGGCAAACAGGCATCTGGGGCTGCTGCTGTGCTGAGGAGCTCCGCTCACTGCAAGACACCTCAAACGTACAAAAGCTAGATGATGACAACAAGCTCTGACCTCCTGCCAGCCTTCTGCGAAGGCTGCCCCCACATTACATCCCTGAAACCCTTTTGAAGCTCTGCAAAAGCCCTCTAGATGATAGTCCACTAACCCAAGGCTTTTGCTCACCAAAGCATTCATTCATTCTCATTTACGCCAGCTGCTTGCTTGGAATCAGCCAAAGGTGTCTCTTGTTTCTTCTCCCTGACTCTTCAGGAGCAGGTAGGAAAGATCTTACCATAAGAGGGACGGCTGGAAATCCACAGCATTACTCAGCCTTCCCACTCTTCCCTGTCCAACGAAAGGGACATTGCAGACTCCAGAGTGACAGGCAAAGACTTCAGGGTATCAGCGCAGCAACGCAAGCTGGAGGTCTAAGTGAGCGGGCAGTGCAAACCGCTTCAAAAAAGCTGCGACGCTGCTCCGAGGCCTGTTGGGCACGACCTCCTCAGCACTGCCACGCTCCTGGTGCAGCTGGGGCTCCCAGCACAAGCTCCACTTGACGCTCTTCACCTGAAGGCATCTTTCGTCCCTTCAGGGAGCTCTGACCTACTTAGTGCTAAGACAGTCAGACATAACACAAACTGATGGGTTTTGAGGGCAAGTGGCTTACGGCGACATCATGGGACTGATCCTCGCCGCAGCGGAAAAGATTTTGGCTGGGCAAGGCTAGCTAACTTCTGGAAAGGGCTGAGCTGCTGCTTACCCAAAAAAATTAACTGGGTTAAGGCAGGATTCTGCCATTTACTATGCAATCCAGCAAGCATGCAAAAATGAACCACCTAGAAAAAAAGAAACTCCTTCGACATTGTTGAAGCATCAGACAGAAGCAGAAAAAGTGGCCAGGATGGTCTGACAATAAAAATTACAAGGGGTTATTTTTTGCAGAAAAACAAGATTCAAAACCAAGGTTTCTCAAAACTGAACGATCATCAAGAATTATTTCGCTCTGTGTGACACAGCTTCATACAAATATCAAATTTAACTTCTTTGCAACCCAAGAAGTTTAATTCACTGTGCACATGCCCATTACTTCTGGGTTTTAGTGAGAGCAGGAGGTAACTCTAGAAATTTGGATTTCTAATTGATTGATGACTGCAACTCGGTTAATAAAAAGTGTTTACAAACGCTCACTGTGTTAATCAAGTACAGTCAAATGAGATTTGCTTTGCAACACACTAATTAATGCTTATGGCTTATGATTCACACTTTGATTTTAATGAAACATAGAACAGGATCGTCAAAGCCGTTTTAATTAAAATACACCGTATATCACTGTACTCTGCCCAAGCTTGAGCTAACTTTATAGCATGTTTAGTGGAGTTTATTAAGCTATTTAGAAGAACGGATCTCTTAAAGCATCTCTCATGAAAGATGATTTTCATATTTTTGACCTCTCGGGCTCTCAGTGTCCAAAAAGCCAGGGACAGACACATCATGCACATTTGCTAGCTATCCAACAGCCAGGGTCAGATTATCTGCTATTTTCCTCCTCCACTGATCCAGACTTGAGGAACTCACACAATTCTCAAGTCTGGCAAAAATCACATATTTTAATCTCTTTTACAGAGATTCAAGTCAAGCTGCTAAAGGGGCCACGGCATAGCTTGGACATGCAGAGAGAGTTACAGATTTGAATTTTAGCAAAAAATGACCTTCAGAAAAGAATTAATCGAATGAATTCATGAAAAGCTCATGCCTCACAAAGAACGGAAAGCCACCCAACAAACAAACCAAAAAACGTTGGCTATTTGTGGAAAAAAAAAAAGTACGTAAGGAACTACAGAAATAAGAAACCATCGTGTGCTCACAGGCCACATGCAGCTTATTGTTCTGATTCACCTCAAACCTGTACATCAGAAATGAGTAAAACTAAACCATGCTCTTGTTGACCGAGTAACTCCTAGTAAAGGAGAGTTGCTAGGAGCTAAAAGCACAGAGCAAAGCGAATCCGTGAGCGCAAAACTGAAGAGAAGACTCTTTCTTCAAAACTTTTGTGTTTTATTCTCAAGGTATATACCAAATCCTTGCCTACGTCAGGGCATTTACCTCCTGCTCATGCTGCTGTCAGGAACGTGGGCCACAATCCCAGCCCTAAAAACGAGAGCGTAAAACGTGCCCCAAGGTCTGGTCCTGCGGCTGAGTCTCGCCTACCTCTTCCCTGATGGTGTTTTCATTCATGCACCCTTTGCTGATGTTTGTCAAAGGGCAAAGCTTCGAGTTGGGTTCAAGGGCATGCTCATAACTCAGTGCTCAAAGCGTCCACCACACGTTATCGTTTTATATTCCAACACAAATATGTGGTTTTGTGAGCACCCAACACAGGAAAAAACGAATAGCTAGGATTAATGCTACGACGATTTGAGTCTTGTCCTCCCAAAAGCTGGATAAGGTGCCCAGAAACCTATCCAACCGCCCCATCCAGCAGTGGGATCACAATCCTCTCCCTGACTCCAGCTGGCCAGGAGACAGAGCGGTGGGACCTGCCACAGTTGATTTCCAACGCACTTCTCCGCACGCGCACTAACCTTGTGCCAGCAGAAATTCCACTGTGCCCAGGTGTCCCTCGGACGCAGCCATCATCAGGGGTGTCCGCCCCTGTTTGTCTGCCATGTTCACATCGGCGCCGTGCGTGAGCAAGAGGTCTACGATCTGCAACATACAAAGCAAGGACACGCGTCATACACGCAGGCTCTTGCCGGAACGAAGTGACGAGCGGCGAAAGAGCAGAGCGGTCTCTGAGTCTTGTAACCTCATCCCAACGGGCATGATGTCCTCTGGGATTATTGCTGTGACGTTAGGGCAAAGGAGAAATGACAAAGGTAAAAGGAAAGAGGAGGAAAAAAATTAAGAGCATCCCATCTGCTGCTGTGAAATGGCAAGGCAACCCAGTACTTTAGCAAAAGATTGTCCGTATCCAGCAAGAGCTCAGGATGGTCAAAATCTTGTAAACGAACATGCACAAGGTCTTAACACTGGGGTTTGCAGCAGCCAAACCATTTCTTTCCGCTACTCTCACATCCCCCAAACGACTGCAGTTTTTCTTCTCTTCCCGTATCTCAGCCAATAACGGTGACTGAGGATGGCCTAGCTCAGGAGCACAGGCGTTTCGGATGGTGCTTGGAGAAACCCACTCACCTGCCAGTGACCTTGTCGCACGGCGCTAAAGAGCGGAACAACCCCGCGCCGGTTCGGCTGGGCCACGGCTGCTCCTTGCTCCAGGAGGAGACGACAAACATCCAGTTTCCCTCGCCCTGCTGCTGCTGTCAGAGCTAAAGGAGAGAGAAAAGCCGTGAAAAGAATAAGCTTGCTAAGAAGGTTGCTACTATACAGACAAACCATTCTGCCTGGTATCAGAGTGATGGTGCCTAAAAGGCCCAGCACACCCCAGGACAGGCAAAATGAACAAAGAAAATGGGACAGATTAGTATAGTTCTCGTTTTTATGAGTCATTTTAGATTTTTTCCAAAGGTCAGCTCTCCCTGTGAAAAGACCTCATAATGTTATGGAAAGAGGGTGATCGGGACAATCGGCTTTTATGATTTCCAGCAAGTTGCAGCAAAACCAGAGGAAAAGGAGAAGTGCAATAAACATCGAATAATTGGCAGGGCAACTGAAGTTCAAGGCAGCGTCACAAACCAATCTTAAGTCACGTCACGTGAAACCTTCACCATCTCCCCCAGTACCTCCTGCAGTTTTTTGGCATTTGAACCTACTGTAAAACGCAGGGGCTCTAAGCCCAAGAGTGTCGTAGCATGGGCACGACTTCCACAGAAGAATCAGATCTTTGGGGGCTTTCTTGACGAGAACTTTCCCAACCTGGATCCTGGCTACGTGAGATTCTCCAAACCCAAAAGTGCGAGAGAGTGCACGAGCTGGGAGTACTGACGGGTTATTGCCAGCCAGCTCAACGTTAGTGAGGTTTGTGGTTCTCCTCTGTCTAGACTAGCTTAGAGCTGCATTATTCCCGTGGTGGAACTTTATTTCTAATGTCCCACTTTATTTGCAACCCCACCGGGGAAGCAACTGGAAGGCAAAAACTGTGTGTACATGCTCACATAGTCTCCAAGTAAAATGCTAATTCTGGCCTTTGCTTCTGGGCCAGCGCAGATCCCACCAGCAAGGATCTGCATGCAAAAGAAAAATTATCTTTAATTTTCAATAGTACAGGTGCTCCGGGGAAAGGTAACCCCTCTTCCCCTGAACGTGCTCTGTAAACTCTGGAAATATGGCTGGGGAAGAAAAGACACATGCAATCTGAAAATAGCTCCAAGTGTAGGACCTGCCTTTGGTATTAATTTTAGACTTTTCAGTTCCTCCCTCCTCTCCCCTAACTTTCTGTGCACTGCAGCAAACTCCTCGGGCTCTGCATTCTGCTGCTTCTAGTAGGAGTTTGAGCAGAAGGTGGGAGTCTATTTCTAACTGACGTAGCTCGTTTTTTCTTTGAAGTACATTTCTGTGGGATGGCTGATTACGAGGTGTTGATAGGTTTCCAACTGCAACACTGTTAATGGTGGGGGATTTAATTAATTCTCTATTCTGTTCCGCATTAAGGCTTAAGTTTTGCTTCTCTCGGGGTCGAGAGCCACTAAGAGTTAAAAGAAAAATCATCTCTCTGCCACGAGAAGAACATACTGCAAAATCTATAATCAGATCCATGTGGGTTTTAAATGTACGCTTCAAATATAGAAGGAGGCCTGTGTCTAATGTTCAGAGCAGAGGGACTGGTATGCAGGGCTTTGGTTCTATTTCGGAACCTGCCTGCACTTGAAACGTTGCAGGTTAATTTGAGGTATTTCACGTCAAAATGGCTTATGCTCGCAACAATGAAAATACTGTAAATCACCAAGTGTTTAATGTTCATCGTGAAATCTGCTTCGGAAAAGACTTTGCCGAAATAGGATGATTTGATCCACGGCCATACCCTTCTCTGCTCTCCTCTGCTGGTTACTTGGACCAAAGTGTCTTTTTGCTGTTTACTTCTTCTGGGTCAACGTAATTGGTACTGGTATGCAGCCATGGTCTGTCCTTTGCAGTTTCCACCCAAGGGAAGCTCACGCGCTACTGCTGATTACTGAACGCTTAGATCTCGCTGCTTCAGGATGGTCTCCCACTGACAACCTGGATTTGCTGCCTGCTGGCGTGGGAAATGGATCCGAGCACATCTTGTGTAACGTGGAGATATCCAAGCAACCACCTTTAGAAATGGAGAAACTCTCTGAGGAGTGAAAGGAGCTCAGTCCAGCCGGACCCTAGGAGACCCACCTGATAATGTCAGCCCTGACTTCAGGGTTGCTGTGCTCTGAACAGAAGGTCGGACTAGATAACTCCTGAAGTCCTTTCCAACTGGAACTAGCCTGTGATTGTAGAGTGAGGACCTCGGCCTCCAGTTTGCTAGATATTCTGCTGCTGCTCTGAATGTAAGCGTTATAGCCCTGCATCTCCAGCCTTCTGGTCAAAATAACTTATCCACACAGCTTCATCTCCACTGCTGGTCACCTCAAGTCCATGGCACTATCCTGTCGTGTCACCTGGTGTCCATCTGTCCAAGCCTAAAAGCTCACACTACTTCAGGAGATATTCTAGAAGTACTTGCTTGTTTAAGCTTGTCAGGACTCCTTAGGTGCACTTATCAACCTGCTTCTGATGCCACAGAGCGGCTTTCAATACATCTGCAGCAGACATCAGTCACCACAAAAACCACAACACAAGTTAAGCTTTCCCCTATGCTGCCTGTGCTGAAAGGAGACCAGAAAAGCCAAAGAAAGGTGATGAGAGGAAACGAGAGCAACGGGAATGATTTAGTTTGACACCAGGCTCTTGAAATTCTGCTCTCTGACACAGCGTGAACAACCCCTGAGTCCATAACGTGCAGCCAAGGAGCAGTCCCGGGATCCTGGGCCAGAAACGACAGCATTCATTTTGAAACTTTTCTGCAAGGACATAGTACCATGAGTCCAAGTCAACAGGTCATAACATAGCGTCGGCATAAACGCCACGTGACAGTTGCTGCCGTTCACAAAACGTGGCTAAGCAAAACTCGAGACAGGCTTCAGGGGCAGACGCGTCCCCTCAGTTAGCGAGCGACCGAGCGATGTCAGATAAGCCACAGTCCTTAGCCCAAGGGATTCGCTATGGACCGTTCTGCAGTGCCTGCTGTGCAAAACGTATCTGTTTTCTTAGAGAAAGAACAACTTTATCCAGAGGAGGAATCACTAAATTGCGGTGTACTGCCTAGCTCCTACACGGTATATGTATCTATCTCATAGCCCGGCAGCAGGACCAATGCTTTCCGATGTAGTTATCATTGCTGTATTTGCACCTCCAGCTCTGACGGGATTATTACAAGTGACTCAGACACTTCTATACTGGATTTTGATATTAGCTTTGTCCCAGGGTAAATGTTCCATCTGGAGTTGGCTATACTGTGCTTTCGGCAATTCCTGAAGTTATGATGTAACTTGGCACTGCAATTTGGATGATATCAGACTGGTATCAGTAAGCCAGACACACAGTCCTGCTCTGCAGAAGAGTAGACGCACGAGCAACAAGTATCAAAAGAGAAGAGATATGATTTGGATTTTTAAAGCAGGCAGCTATTTTTAGGTTGAAGCTAACATTTCTCTTCAATTCTATCTAAAAACGCCATTTACTTTCAGGAAAATAAAAATAAAACGAACTGAAAGGGAGTCTTGTGATCCATACAAACTTGTCTCGCCTGCAGCAGGAGGGAAGAATCCTGAATTTGATGGCTTGCTCATTTCTGCTCATTTTCCCACCTTACCTACCATTAATTTTAATGGCATAAATGGGTACTCCTTTGAGATGACTCTTCAGTTGGTGTGCTACTAACAAATCACACATACACCTTTCCCAACGAGCCAAGCTTCCTCAAGAACTCCCCTCAGACCCGCAAACATTTGGCAATTGCTCTAAGTCTAGCTTTCAGCATTGGGGTGGGGGGAGAGGTAGGGGAGGGAGGACAACAAAACAGGAAAGACGACTTGTGTTGCAAGTGTCCTTAAGGCAACAGCCAGGCCCAGAGGGTTACACGGGACACACGGAGAGGCAGAGTTACAGGACGCAAGGAAAGAGGAGACAGAAGAGCTGGAATCTGTCAGGCAGAAGTGCTGGAGCTCAGCCATCACCCTGGGGAGCACGGCTGAGTGGAGAAAGGAGGACTCAGAGGACTTAGAGGACTGGTATCTCTGAAAGTCAGCCTCCGAGGAGGAGCAGAGAAAGTTAGACGACAGCTTGGAAAAAAGTGTATGCCTATACACCAGGCTTTCCCAGGTTTATCCAGACAACTCAGGTCTTCCCTAACTCAAGAGTAATACCTGTAGCGGCTGATGATGCTTATTAGGTTACATTGCAGAGAGACATTTTAGTGGCTTTTGATCAAACTCTAAAGACATCCGGATTACCGTCCTATTCTGCAGTCTGCTTCCATTAACAAGACAGTCCACAAGACCCAAATACCAGAGAGCATTTTGGATGAGCCATCTCTGGCCCGGTCACCACTCTGAACTGAGCACTCACCTGTAAAAATGCTGTTGTCCTGCTGTGAGTGTGTATAAAACCAGCAACACTCAAGTCGTTTCATTTGAATAATTCTATATCCAATTACTTTTTTTTTTTCCCCATGACACCCTATGGGCATTTTTAAATTGCTTATTTGTAAATCTTGGTCTTATTCCCACTAATAATGGCACAATGCCCTTGCTATGCTGCTATGCCCCTGCAGGTGGAGGGAGCCGCTTCCTTTCACAGCGCCCTGCAACTGGCCAGACCAGCCCTGCCTTCTGCCAGGCTCCACGCTGCGACAATCCGTTCCTACAGCTTCGTCCTTTAAAGCTCAGGTTGCTCGGGGGTGATGCTTTCCGATGGACTCCATTCATTACGGGGCTATTACAAGGCTTCATTTTCCAAAGTACAGTGGACAAATCAGCTCAAAAATTATCCCCAATTTTTTTTTTTAAAGTAACAAGAAATATCCTGACCAAACACAAAGCTACATGCCAGCCAGTGCCCGTCCCCTTGGTTCATGTCACCTCTAAGCAGAGGTGACGGAATCAAAATCAGTGCTCTATTACTCAGACACAAACGTTACCTTGGTGAATTAACTTGACAGGAACACATCACCGATGATGCAAACAGATTAGCGAGTTGAGCACAAAAGAGAGTGGATAATATTTATGAGGTCAGTGGTGTTAAAAGTTAACAAGTCCAGATCTGAATATCGGAAGAAATGGAGAGGATAGCGCAATTCTTGCTTGTGAAGTGGATAAGGTGAGCGGCTGCTTTCGTTTTGGCACAAATTAAAAAACGAGGGCTTCTGGATTGATATCCATGAATACAAAGAAAGTATTCCACAAAATGACATTTGTTTAATTACCAGCTGCTAAATAACGACCAGTTTTTCAGAAAATCAAAGGATAACGTAGTGGTCATGGTACCGCACATTATGGAGAGGGGAGAGAGAAATAGGGGGATGCTGTGGATGAATATGCCAAATATCAAAGGAGAAAAAAACCCAGAGTTCTGTGTCCATCCAACTTCACATGACGTGTTTGAGAGAAATTAGGGGACTGGTTGTCAGAAACGCTGCCTGCCCACTCTCTCCTAAAAACAGAAGCTGCAATGTATTTTCAGTATTTTCAAAGCTAAACTTCTCTGTTTGACTTAAACAGTTTGCAGCTCTACCTTGGCGACCGTAAATCATCTGAAATCCAACGAGAGAAGCTGAGCCTTCTCACTTCACCACCACAAAGGCAGGAATCGGGGGATATATTAGGTAACGGGGAACCCATGAATACAAACACCAACATGCAAGAAAGCAGCTACAGTGTCTACAGAAATCACCTGTCTCTCCCCAAAGGCTGTCAAAGCTGTTGATTTGTGCTCGCTCCACCTCCTCTTCATCTTTTTCTGGAAGATCGAGCAGGTAGGAGACAATCTAAAACAGAACGACACGTCAAGCTCACGAACTTCGGTGCGTTACACATGAGCCGCTGACATCTTAACACGGGCTGCTCTGAATACACAAAGGAAAGCGAACAAAGTCTCTGCCCGGCGCCTTCACTCAAGTAAATATTCTTCCTGAAATCAATCACGGAGCCTGCTACCCTGCACAAATTAAAAAACCCGAGCATCTTGGAACAACTGCAACCGATGAGCCTCTGTAGCGCTGGTTCCTTATCGCTGCACGTGTGGCTGGTTTGCTGCAGATGACACGGCGTATGCAGCGGCTGCTCCTCCACCTGCACGTTGAGCTACAGATGCCATAACCAGTAAAAAAAAAAAAAAAAAAAAAAAAAAAAAAAAAAAGATTTGCCTGTCTATCGACTCTCACCTGGTGGGGCTTTACCAGTGTAGTGAGTATGATCATCTCCTTGTACTGCTGGGGAAACTGAGTCACGGACAAATGATGTAACAGCAGACAGATAATCATCAGCCTCTTCGTCATCCTCAGCTCTAGCCAAGATGAAGTCACTTCTAGAAACTATTAGCGCCTTTCTAGCAAATGCCATTTTTCAGCAGATTGTTACAAAGAATTCTGCTATGCTTTTCTTCCGGCTGTGGATGCTTGAAACCCCAGAGAGACAAATTAACTTCTCCAAAGGGTAAATTAACGGATTTAATTGACTGAAAACTGGCAGAAAATGTCAGTGTTTGGATCATATGATGTGAGAAAGCAAGAGGCTACGAAGAAAATTGGGATTTTACTTTAGCAACTGAAGGAGCAAAACCATTTTTCTCATTCTGGGAGAAATAATTATCTGCTGGGGCCCAGGTGACAACTAGCATTTTCAGAGTATTTTGGAGGAAGCGGCAGCTGCTCTACTGCGTGCAGCTGTCCGCAGGCACAGGCTACCTGGCAGGAGCAAGAGCCAGGACTACAGTGTGGCTCTACCAGTGATTAAGATCATTTTAAAGCATGTTAAATACTTGCTTTATCACTGAAGTGGGAGAAAAATCAGCAAATTAATAACCAGCTTATGTCTCCTATGACTGCAAACATCTCAAAATAGGGATTTTGAGTATTTTCTCTAACAGCCCTGTGCACTCATGGTACAACGTTAATATTAAATAACTCCAAAGTTGCTTTTAAAAAGTTATAAAGGTGACTAAAATGGTTTGGGGGGGGGGAACCCCCATTCAAAAAGTTGGGTGCCCTGTTACAAATTGTCCTCGGAGTGCAGATCTTTACGCTTTCGAAGTCACATCTGCTTCTAATCAGCTCAACTCACAGTCCCTTAGCTAATGCGAATTTCTCAGCTTTCTTTACTTAGCTCCTCCAATCTGATCGAGTTACCTACATTTTCCTGGATTATACTTAACAAAAGCAAAAATCTAAACTCTGAGAGGAGTGCAATTTAGTAAAGAAATCAACCAACACAAAAATCCACAAATACCGCTTCTCAGTAGGAAAATACACATCACTTTCCGAATCGGCACATCTTCAGGCAGGACAAGAGGAGCAAGTTCTTCAGTCCTGCTCTCCCCAAACACGCAGTCCCAAACTCCAGAGTCTCGCGTTCCCCTAGCAGCACCGGAGGAGCAACACGCTGTTTATCTACCCTTGTTTAAAGGTCTATTCCAACAACTTAAAGGCTTGTTACACTTCCGCTCTTGGAAGCCTGCCCAGACCACAGAGTTTGCCAAGGGATCTGTGAATCCCACTCCCTGCGATGGGAAGGGGAGGAAGAGCAGGACACTGGTACTGACTCCACCTCCCAGACCCTCTTTGCTCAATAGTCTGGCTAGGAAGCGTAGTTAACCTTTGATTTCCCGTCCCTCAGAGGCAAAGCGACGCGCTGGGAAGTCTTACCTCCGTGTAGCCCATGCTGGCCGCGGCGATCAGCGCCTGCTGGATGGCGTGGCTCTTTTTAAACACTCCCTGCTGCTGCCCAGCCATAGTCCAGTCGCATTGAATCAGAAACTTCACCACTTCCAAGTGTCCCCTGAGAGCAGCGTGAACCAGAGCGCACTGACCGTTTTTGTCCAAGTGATCCACCTTGAAAAGAGAAGACGACAAAACACCGTTAAGCAAAAGCACGGGCAAAGTGGCTTCGTTTCCTCAGAGTTTCCAGCCCTGGCTTCAAAATAATGCCACATGTGCAAAACGTGCATTTTTCTAGTAAACTATCTCTTCCATGACCAGAAAACAACCGTTCCAAAGAAACTCTGCCCCAGGCTTAGGCATCCTCTTGGCCACAAGTGTTTGTTTTGGGTAAGTTACTGTTTTTTTTTTTAGCTTCAGCTTTTTTTTCAGACTCCAAGGCTGCAGAAGCATTTTTCCCCTTGTGTCCCGAAATACACCAACTGCATTTTCTTTTGGGTTGAAATTATACACGCTGATTTAGTCTCCTTTATCCGAGTCCACAAAAGGCAAAACAGCCTAGCCTGTTTTTAAAGTATCATTTCATGATGCTTTCAAGAGGGACAAAAGTGCCTCAGCTTGTAGCCTACCACTCTAACGGGAATTCAGTGCTAGCAGAAGTCAACAGGCAGCAGAGATTTCGTCCGGCAGCCCCGTGGGAACTTCGCTGGGAGGCTTTTCAGGCCAGGGCTCGGTTTCACTTGGTGCTTGCACACATCAGCTGGGATTTCCAGGTCCTCTCGTCATACAAGTAACTTGGTCCAAATAGGATCAGGTAGAGAGTCCTGCTGATTAACCACTTCACATGTTCATGCTCTGCACTGTATTATTTCTAAATTTGTAAACTTACGCAGAAGTCACTGTTTCATGTTTCCAGGCCATCATCAAACGGCTCAGCCTTTGAACTAATCCCGGCTGTTATCAGGGCATTAATTACATCGTCCCCAAATATTCCCTTTCTCGGAGAGAGGATAGATTCATCGACACAGCTTCTTACTCAACTCTTAAAACCTCCCAGCCAAAACTGAATCCTTTTTTCGTTGATACTGTCTTCGCATCATTACAGACAACATGGCGAGATCTAAACGGGTCCCTCAGTCATCCTGACGTTCATAGTAAAACCGTATAAACCCATATTTTGCTTCTTGACCTGAAGTTAAACATACAGAGAAACCACAAATTGTTTCCAGGAGGCTCCGCTTCCAGTATCAGCACAATTTTTCTCTTCAATAGAATGCTTAAACTTGACTCATTACATACAATTAAAACGCAAAACATTCACCACAAAGCTAAACAAAGGGTATTTTTCTAGGATGAGTCTGACAGAAGCTTTTGGAAAAAACGTGCCCGAATGTGATATTTAAAGAACGCTCTGGCCTGCCGAAGCAATGTTGCCATTTTAACATTGCAAGGTTCAAGGACTTCTCCCGCCGTCCTTCAGCGGGCCGCTTAGTGCGGCATGATTAGGCAGTTCTTACATCAGACCCGAATTCCAGAATACTAATTACAGACTCTCAGGAGTTATTTGCCTTTGGTGTCAATGCAACATTTTCAAAGTGCTACATCCGCTCAGAAAAGCAAGCTCTGTGCAGCAGCACCCTGCAGTCATCTGTTGGAGGACATTCTTTATTAACGTAACAACATAACACCGTGACAAGTTCATCAAAATTACCTCGTCATGTATACCTCAGCACCCCAGAAGATATGCGACTACGGTCAGTTCAGGATTTTCCCTGAACTATTTACTACTGTCTTCAGACCCCTCGGCACAAGTTGCGTTAAATAATCTGAATATATTGGTGCAACGCTTTTCAAAGGAACCTGGGATACCCAAATACACCTACAAACTCCAAATTCCCAAATACCACCAGACCCACGGGAAGGAACTCTAGCTAGCCACAGGAGGATGCCTACCCGCCTGTGTCGGTGTGCAGTGCTGGCAAAGGCAATCCTGGAAGGCAGGAGCCCAACTCCAGTAGATGTGTAAGAGCTAAGAATCAGACTTTCCTCTATTACTCTGGAAAAATTCCCCCGAGGCAGGCAGGAAAGATGACAGAGCGGGCATTTCTTCTGGCATTTTTAGACTCCTGTAGCTGCATTTCATTCTTGAAAGAACATAAACTTTGCTGTTCCAGATTCAGTGACACTGGCTGCCCGAGGAGACCTACCTTCCTTCCTTCTGAAAGCAGCAGGAACTCAATCCCGTTAAACCACCAGAAAACCTGGGCTTTACCAGCAAACGATGACAACTGAGTTGCGAGTGAGAAGCTACCACGACTGTTTGGAAAAACGGCATACGTTAAATTTAAGCAAAGTGCAGGCTGTATGGTGGTCTTTGGTCCATTAGAGCAATCAGACTTGGCTGTACCATTTATCTTGGCTTCCTCAGCAACAAGCATATAGCAAATGGTGATATTTATTATCAGGGAAAGAAATAAAGGCACACAAAGCCTGTTTCTTTGCAGATAGCTGGTATGTATCTTGCCAGCAACTTGTGCCCTGCCACACGTAAATAAGACTTATTTTAAGCCAGTGGTTAGAGGAACATGGTCACGGTACCTTGGCTCTTTTCTTGCACAGCAGCACAACAATGCTGAGGAATCCAGCAGCAGCAGCGTACCCAAGCGGGGTCAGGCCACTTTCAGAAGCAGCATCTACATTGGCCCCAAACTCCAAGAGCAAAGCCACCATCTCCGTGTAACCCAGGTGAGATTGGACACACAAAATCGGGGCGTTGTTCAAAACTTCGGTACGGTAATTCACATTTGCACCTCCTAAAATCAGCAGCCGACTGACCTATAGAGGGAAAAAAGCTCCTGTTAGTGGCATGTTATTGCAGAGACATTAGCTTATTCTCAGGACAACCAAATAATTGAAACGAGGGCCCCTGCCACGTTTCAAAATAAATATCAAAGGACACAAAATGCCCGGTAAAATCACTTGCCAAACGTATGGTCCCATTTTAGAGAGAGTGAACAGTTTAATCTTTCACCTGAACGGTTGGTAAGTGCTTTGAACAGTGTGCAATACACTTCATAGAGCATCAACGTCACTGCAGCCATGTTGCAACAGCTGGAGACACTGAGAGTCTCACAGGAGGAGAGAGAGATGGAGAGAGACACTTTATTTGACTGTCCTTCCTGTAGGATCCTCTTTTAGAGCTGACTTTGGTTATCCCATTAGGTTTCCTGACTGGCTCAGCTCCGTAGGTATTTGGTAGCAGGGTGGGAAAGACTATACCTGAAGATGAAGAGTGCAAGGGGACATGCAAGTGGCCACCAGGCTTGTCTCACCCATATGGGAAGGACGGGGGGGAAATACCATCTCGGATGAAGAACAGTTTGAAATCTGCATCACTGTCTGAAATCCTGTCTGCTGCAGAAACGAATTCACTTCAGCTAACGTGTTCATACGTACGAACGCAAACGTGTACGAAGTGGCTGAACTAGCACGGGCCACTATGTTTGGCATCATCTCTGAGTTAGCGCCTGCCTATGCCAGAGTCCTTTAAGGGACTGTCAAATTTCAACACCAGCTGTTGCATCCCACATCTCTGGGGAAGAGAAATACAAATGAACCATGTTGCACAGGAGTAGAAATAACACTCTTAATACTAACAGTAATTAAAAGGAGATCCCTAGCGAGAGTAGAAGAGCTAAGGGATCAGCACATGCTTGTAACAAACCCTAAGTGAACGGAAGGCCTCTCCCTAGCTCAGCGAGGTAGGTAAATGCCTGCATCGTCTCCTGCTGACCTGCAGTTATACACGTTATCCTGCACTTGGGCTATCGCATATCAGAGGAAGCTTCTCATTTAAGCTCTGAACCACCTCCGCTCTCCTCTCCCTCCAGTACCTTTATGTTTGGGGTATAGAGGTTTCTCAGTGATGCCAAAGCCATCGAAAGACCTTCGGTACTGTAGGAGATCCAAAGCCCTTGCAGGATGGAGGAAGACACCCCGACTTTTTTACTCAGCCCCTAAAAAAGAACAGAAAAGATGACTTAGATCTAATCCCCTGCAGATTCACTTTGCCACTGGGTGAAAACATTAAAAGAGTACTTCACAAATTATACTTCTACCAGCAATAGAAATCCAGCCAAGTAGCCCAGGATTAACTGAATCACAGTACCCACACTCACTTTAATTCAACTTTTATCACCAAAATACTGGCAGCTTGTGAGGCTTGCTTAAAAATATACTAAATTACATTGGACAGGTTCTCCTGGGTATTGACTGTCACAGCGATTCACAGCTGTTGAAGAACCACCCTACTATCCAGGCAACACAAGCGCAACTATGTCTCCCCAACTTACTGTTCTCAGCTCCAAAATCTAGAAAAGACAGAGTAAAACTGCAAGCAAGCTGAGTATCCATTCAGCTCCCTACGAACGCCCTGTTCTGCCGAGGAGCACGCCACGCTTCTTTCTTTCTTCCTTTCTTTTTCTTTTCTTTTCTTTTTTTTTAAACGAAGTACATAATATTTTGGTGGAACTGATTCACAAAGTTTCCTTATTACTCACATGGTTAAACCAGACAGCGATACCTGGCACCAGACAAATTAAGGAAGTCTTCCCGAAGCCCAGAGCGGTATATCCATATCTAATGTTGGACTGTGTCCAGCCTTTCCAGTTGATGCACATGATTAGGCTACGCTTAATAGGCGAGATGCACTGACATCTTCTGCAGCGACACTGCCGGGGGGACCACAGATGGGTTAAGCGAGTTTCCCTCCCTCCTGAAGGAGCGATAACTGCTTTGTAACGACCAGATGTTGGCAAACGGCTTGATCTCAGAGGCGAGGAACGGGTTTGCGAGTGGAGCGCGGTGGCACAGCGAGTTAAAGCCAGCTCGGCCGGGTGCTGTGCCGCGCGATACGGATCCGCCCGGTATGTTGCTGTTCTGCTACTGATTTTCCATTAGGCCTGCCGTTTCCACGGCAACCGTACAGACATCTTTAACTTTCTGTTTGGACCCGTAAACCCCGATTCCTACTCGCTTGCACGCTGTGTGGTCATTCACAGCGGCGCAGAGCAGCGGGATCCCAGTTCGGCTTGGCAACTCTTTTGTATCCCTTTACAATGGCAGACGGACCCAGAAGACGCAGGGCTAGGGGAAGAAAGTCAGCGCTAAAGGGTGGCATGCGCTTCATCTAAATGAAGGTGTCTGCAGCGCAGAAGTCATCATCTGAGCCCGCTGCTGGACTCGATTACCTACCTCTAATATACACACGTTAAGAATATTTTAAAGCATCAGACCAGTCATCAAGAGGTTCATCACTTAACCAGTTTTACCTTTAAAAAAAGAAAAGCAGCGGACTAGACAAGCTGTTATGAATAATCACCAGCTTCAGGAGCTTGTTTTCTTCGACATTCAGGGAATTCTTATATAAGAGAAAAATACCTCCATGTGTTAGAGGCAGAAAAAGAGCGCAGTACATGACAAAGAGGTCAACATTAAGCTTCCGTGAACTCAGCATGGTATAAGCGGACGAATGGAAAAGAATTTTATAATAAACAGTTAAAATAATTAAAAAAATAATTATAATACTATCTAAACCATGCACAGGCTGTTTGAATCTCCACGAGAGCTGAGGAAGCACACCTGCTCTTCGGACCAGCCATCCAAAGATAATCATACATGCTATAATACCTCAACCGCTGTAGTAGAACAAATATATGTAGATATTAGTGAGGTACATAAAATATATTTTTCCTTTATGGAATAAATACATGCAACACTTAGCATTCAGTTGCTGAAAGAAATCCGTACCATTTCTCATTTTACAGAGAGTATCTTCCTTTTCCACTTCCCTTCTCTGCCCAGAACTCTAAAGCTGGTTGAATCCCCCAAAGCAAAAACAAATCCCAACTTAACACAGCATCAAACTGCTGGAACGAGATGAGTGGTTTTCACGTCACTGCGACCATCAGACGCGGGACCTAAGGACTAGCACGGGCTGACTAAACAAGTTTCATTCAAACTACTATGCCAACCCCCCATGATCCTGATTTTCAAGCAGTCCATGCTTTTTTCAGTCCTGCATCCTTGTATGCGGCTGTCAGCATCCTTCATTCCTCACGTTATGCCTTGTCCTCTATTTTGGTCTCTGGTACTCTTTGTACATCCCTACACCTTCGTCTCGGCCATAATGCAATATAATGATTTCCGTGACGCATGTAAAAAACCGCTAGGAACAAGAATGAAACCAAAGGTTGCCTGCGATCTATGACAGGGTCAAGGATTTGAGGCCAACTAAGTTCAACACGAGATCTTTGTAACACTGCTTTACGGGGAATATCAGACACCTTGATGACCTAGCAGAGCTGTCATGATGAGTTCTTCCTGCCTGCAGTTGTCATTACATCCTCAAGCTACGGACAAGGGACATTCATTTCTGGATTACTGACATTTCAACTAATTAATTTAAGATGAAATCAAAGAATTCTCTTCAGTTGATTTCTAAAACATACGTTAGCTTGAAGTTTAGGTCTCCTTGTATCATTACTGCACATTTATCTTCTTGCCCTTTCATTCCATGCCAGGGTTTCCAAGCTGGGTTTCCATATGTTCCTGTTAGGCTGGTAATTGCTTTAAAAAACTAAAACATTTGTACTTTTTTTTTTCTCCCCTCAACTATTTGAGGGTGTTTATGTTTAGAAAAGAAAATCAGCAGATCTCAGCCATCAAGTAAAAAGGGGAGTGTGAAAGCCTCCTTGCACCTATTTGTCAAACCACCTTGTTGGGACTGTGCCTCACTGATTTGTTACACCTTGAAATTCCAAGTGTCCCGTCATCACCCTGACAAACAACCAGTGGATTTGAACTGATAGGAATCAGGGGAAGGAAAAATAAGTTTTCTCTTGCTGCTCAATCAAGATATTGTCTCTATACCTAACTCCCAGTAGCGGCGCCTGGCTGCACAAAATGCCTTAACCATGTTCTAGTGCTCTCTTAGCCATATAATGGGTAAATATAAGGGGGTTATAATGATGTTAAGCCTCAACAAAAACCTTCAAAATTAGGATCTTTGTGTCTGCATAAAGCTGCTGCTATAACACGGGGAATTTATGACCTGAGATGCTCTTTACTTGGCAGAAAACTCATGCCATACTTGCACTGGTTTCATTAAAATCAAACAGAGTGAAAAGCTCAGAGGAAGAAAATGCTGGTGGAAAAACAAACATGGCCGGTAAAACAGGCAAGGGAATATGCATACATACAATCTGAATTGTTTGCTTTAAAGAACGTTCAAGAACTTAACCATGGTCTGCAATATTCCACTGCAATGTCTCCTTCAAAAACCAACGCAGCTCTTGTTTCATTCAGGAAACGCACACAAATCTTCAGTAAACAAGTGTTTAAAAAAAAGGAATGAAAATAAATCCATTCAAGGAAAACCAAAAGATTAAATCTTATAGTGTTTTCTAATCCATCTTATCCCAACCCTTTTCAAAACTTTGAAAGTACTTCTAAATAACCTTCTCTTATGCTTATCTGTCACTGAGACAAACTACTCTTATTGCAGGGTTGCAAAAACAAGGATTTTGCCAAGTGATTAGAAACAGAAGACCATACTGACGTTTTTCATAATAGGCATTTTCTACCATTGTAAATGCTGCTCAAATTAAATGTGGAGTCTACAGGCAACTTGTGACCTTAATGAAAATCGTCATTTGTTGAGAGCTTAAAACTCTGCTATTTGTTTGTAGCACAGGAGTGTGAAATGATGAAGATTTGGAACCAGCTTTAGATGTAAACGGGAGCTGAATACTAAATTCGTTGCTGAATTTGGCCTTGGGAACCTAACTCAAAATTTGAAAATTATACGCTGATCAGACAACACGCTGATCTGGGGTTCTTCTCTTTAGCTCCAGCCATTGTTTTTCCAGACGAGGAAGCCTTGCCACTACACTCGATCATGAATTCAATAAAGAAAACTCGATAAATAAATAAAAATGAAAAAGAGATAAATGATCTGTTTGCTCTAAAAATACTAATAGGAATTCTATTGATGATACTTAATATACGGGTCATACTGATGTTCGTGTCCAAGCTTGCTGTTTAATTATCCAGGTGTTAAGTGTCTGCACGAAGTGTAAAACGGAGAAACCATCAGACTGTAATGCATTTTCCCTTTGCAACCAAACCTTTGGGTATGACTCCTTAAAACCGCTCATTTTATTTTCTTCTAGATGTTGTTACAGGAACTCATCTTACGTGGAAAGAAACCTCTTGGAGGGAGAAGAATAATTTTAGGCAAGGAGGCTATCTGTTGAATTTACGGTCTGAAGGATGTTTAGTTTCCAGGATTTCACATATATACCACTGCCAGCTTTCTAAAGCTAACTTCTACATGTCAAAGTAGCCTGAAGCAATCACACTTCTTAGATCAGCCTTAAAACAAGAAGAGATTGGAGACTACCAGTGTTGGCAGACTATGTGCAGCAGAGATGAGGTTGGCACGAGCCTTCATTTCGATTCTCGTTACCTTAAAAATATGTGCTTTGAGAATGTGATGTCCCAGTTCAATAGTCTGCTGTCGATTTAGTTTTCCTTCTTGACGGGAAAACCAGAAGGCAAGTAACGTGTGGCCACTCCTGAAAGCAGAAAAAAAGAGGAAGTCAGTTTTTGCTCGTTCTACTAACAAAAGAGATTTCGACGACAGTTTTTGGTACTGCTAACTCTCCAAACTTAAACCAGCTTTGGGAAGCAGAGCTGGGCTAGTTCTCATTGGTAAGCCACTAACTAATTGCACAACATTTATTATTGGTGATCACGTAATGCTCAAAAAACCCCAACTTTGGAAGATAGGAAAAATAAAATCATTTATTTTCTATAAGCAGACATACACTGGAAACACAAGAGAGACAATCTCACAAACCCCCAAGCGCTATTTTCATAATCATTTTGCAGAGCAAAACTGTGCTTTGAAAGCATGCCATCCGTTCCTAAGTCATGAAAAAAAAATATATTTAAAATATTCACATTTTAAAAGAGAGCCTTAAATAACAACTATGTCCTCCACCCTCTGACGTTCTCTGCAGAGCGAAGCAACTTTATTTCTCTGTAAAACCTTTTCTAAACACTTTTTACAGCTTTTTCTGTAAGAAAGATGCTTCTGGCAAATGACCTACCAGCTTGACTACCAAAGACAAATTACCTGAGCTACATACAGAGCCCCGTTTAACACAAAGCATAGTAAAAGAAAGGCCATTTAACTTCTTTTGGTAACCGTGATCTTAGCCGACACTTTCAAACATCCAAACTCGCAGCTTAAAGCATTGCAAATTCAAGATGGCTTTGTCTTCTCAAAGAGCTGGGACTCCGGTTCTCCACGCGCGTACAAAACACACGTGCTACAAAAACGTAAAAGAACGCAAACCACCTGTGGGTCCGAACGGCAAGCGCCCGCCCTCCACGCGCGAGCGAGCGCATGGGCTCCCGCAAGTGGAGGCGGCCGGCGCCCCCCCCCGGCCCCCCCCCCGCCCCCAACG